TGAAACGCCGATTTCTTTCCTCCAAGTCTCTGTGTCTATCACGTTCAGGGCTTCTTCTTCCCTGTTATGACCGCAATGCTCCGACCCTCTCCCGTGGATGTAGTTCCCCCAACCACCCCGGTGGCCCCCGCAAATCCCACCAGGTCCTCCGAATCATACATACTCATTCACTCACTCAAACAATCCCCACGTGATAATTAAAACACAAAAATACAACAGTGGAATTATACAATACAATTAGTGGAATACAAACAACTGCAACACACTAAAAATACAGTTGTGGTTATAGAGTGAGAAAAGAATCTACAAACATTCCCATCAATAACTGGCAGGCCACTGTTAAAAACCAAGATGCTTGACTACATAGGGTTTTAAACTAATTTAACATGGTTATACAGGTAGTTCCTCGACTTGCAACAGTTCATTTCGTGATTGTTCAGAGTTACAATGCACTGAAAAAAGTGACTTATGACCATTTTTCACTCTTATGCCCTTTATATCATCCCCATGGTCATGTGATCAAAATTTGAACACTTGGAGCCTCCTATTTAGGACGGTTGAAGTGTCTCAGGGTCATGTGATCAGCTTTTGCAACCTTTTGAAAAGCAAAGTCAATGGGGAAGCCAGATTCACTTAACAACCGTGTTACTAACGTAACACCTGCAGTGATTCACTTACCATATTTTTCAGACTATAAGATGCACCAGAGTATACGACGCACCAAGATTTTGTTGTATTCAGTGTATAAGACACACTAAAAAATTTCACTGCTCGAAAGTGCTTTACAGCCCTCTCTAAGTAATTTACAAAATCAGCCTGTTGCCCCCAACAATCTGGGTCCTCATTTTACCAACCTTGGAAGGATGGAAGACTGAGTCAACCTTGAGCTGGTGAAACTAGAACTGTCAAACTGCTGGCAGCCGGCAGTCAGACGAATTAGCCTGCAGTACTGCATTCTAACCACTGCGCCACCACGGCTCTCAGGTAATCAAGTATGGTTCACTAGACAGTGCACCAATGTAAGGAAACTATAAAAACAGACATATTTAATGCTATTTTCATTTAGCAAGAGCCTTGGTAGTACAGTGGTTAGAATGAAGTACTGCAGGCTACTTCTGCTGATTGCCACCTGACTGGAATTTGGCAGTTCAAATCCCACCAAGCTCAAGGTTGACTTAGCCTTCCATCCTTCCGAGATGGATAAAATGAGGACCCAGATTGTTGGGGGAAATTTGCTGACTCATAGACCGCATAGAGAGGGCTGTAAAGCACTATAAAGTGGTATATAAGTCTAAGTGCTATTGCTATAGCTAGCTGTATGAACAATGTGACTCATATAACATTGTCTATTGCTTCCCATGATCTTATACTGCTTGAATCAGAAATGAATAGTGGTAAACCTGAAGGTCATGTTGATTTTAACATTTTTGTTTCATCTGAAACTCTCTATGTGGTTTTCTACTTCCTACT